CTTTTCCAAGACGTGAGAACGACTGGAGGTGGAGGCTCTGAAGAATCAGCAAGGAGTGCCACCATCGCCCCCAGCGTGCGTTGCCTACAGCAGTCACTTCACTCTGTCTACTGCTAGGGCCAGCCTAACATGCACGGCTGCTATTTGTTTTGTTCTGCAAGCTGGGTACTCATTATGCCAAACTTGGAAGGAGGGAAGGTTGAGTCAGCCTTGAACTGGCTAATTGAACCCTTTGGGATCAAACTCATCATGAACAGAGGCTTGACTGCAGTACTGCAGTTTAACCACTACACCATAGGGCTCACCCTAATGGTGTTTTTACATGACGTGTCAACAAAAACATAACCTTTGGCCAAAATCATGAAGTCTTATAGATGTCAGATAGGTAGCAGGTTATGCTGAAAGCAGTTAGCCTTTGTATATGATCCCCCTTGCCTAGCTAAGGAGGCAGAGAAGAGCAGCTTAAATTCTTCTGAAGCCTCCTACGATGGCTGGAGGTGATGAGAGTTGCCATCAGGATGAGAAGGGTCAGACAGCCTGCTTTTAAACTGGCCTTGCAATTATATGTTTAAAAAACTTCAGAATTATTTAGAAGTCAGCATAACCTTCTTTTTCCTCCCCGGAGGAAGTGGCAACATACAACTTCAGCTTGACACCCTTTTCTCTTGTGGTTTTAGCTTTTAAGATTACGTACATCCCCACACTGTTGAAAGACAACAGGTGTAGAATGGTTTACTTTAAGTTAACCTAGGAGGCAGGCTGGAAAACATCACAGAACCCATCATCTAAGAACGCCAAGAGTTCTGTAGCGCCAGAAAGCTGACGTGCTCCCAGGCCATCACAAAAGGGGAAACCATTCATTTCCATTCCCAGTGTGTCTTCAAGCATGAACGGAGGGATCCGCCCGGCATTCTGTTTCTTCGCTCAAGTGCGGAAGGATTTGTAACCTTGCCTGCAACTGTGTGCCTATTCTGTGCCACATTCTTTTCAACCATAGCCGACAGTAACTGACAGACAGGAACCAACGGATTAAGGATAAGACTACATTGGCAAGCCAATTTGTCTTCGCTTCGGCTTGATGCACAGGCTTTTTTGTGACTATATTTGGGTTAGGTGACCACACAAAGAATCTGTGTTGCTTGCGGTCGCTGGCATCTCAATCTGATTGGGTCTGATCCACACTCACAGCCCCCCCATCCCCGTTTCCGATGATCCCACTCTCCTGTTCATCTGACATCCAGCCAATAAGTCTGTTTAAAGGATTGCATAGTGGTAGTGAAATAGAGTCAGTTTCCCAAAATTCTCCATATATGCACGAACATACACCTGCCCTGTTTCCCTGAAAATAAGACCTAACCTGAAAATAAGCCCTAGTAGGATTTCTCAGGATGCTCGTCATATAAGCCCTACCCCCTATATAAGCCCCAGTTACGTGGAAACCTGCCCTCCACCCTTGTCCAGCAACCAGAAGATGATGATGTGACTGTATGTGAATCAATGTAGATAAACATACACCCACCCTGTTTCTCTGAAAATAAGACCTAACCTGAAAATAAGCCCTAGTAGGATTTCTCAGGATGCTCGTCATATAAGCCCTACCCCCAATATAAGCCCCAGTTACGTGGAAGCCTGCCCTCCACCCTTGTCCAGCAACCAGAAGATGATGATGTGACTGTATGTGAATCAATGTAGATGGTTGTACATGAAAAAAATAAAACGTCCCCTGAAAATAAGCCCCAATGTGTTTTTTTGGAGCAAAAATTAATATAAGACCCTGTCTTATTTTGGGGGAAACTCAGTACGTCACCAGAAAACCACCGAAGGCCAGACAGACCTGATCCTTCTGCAGAACCAAACAATCAAACAGACAAAGCCCCATGAAATCGTCGCAGCTAGTAAAAAAAGTAGAAACTCCCAGGAGCAGGAGAAAAAGTCTGGATTGGATGGAGAAAATGATGGACTGATTCGCGTTGGCCAGTACATCACCAGAAAACCACCGAAGGCCACACACACCTGATCCTTCTGCAGAACCAAGCAATCAAACGGACAAAGCCCCATGAAATCGTCGCAGCTAGTAAAAAAAGTAGAAACTCCCAGGAGCAGGAGAAAAAGTCTGGATTGGATGGAGAAAATGATGGACTGATTCGCGTTGGCCTTTATGTCGTGCGAACATTGAAAACTACCGAGAATTCACCCATGCCCGTTTTAGACCAAACTGCAAAATATTTTCCAACGTAGTCGCGTGCTAAGGCTGTAGTCTTCAAATGGTCCATGATCCCCTATAAAGTAATACCGTATTTTTCACACTATAAGATGCACTTTTTTCCCACAAAACAGGGGGGTGGAAAGTCTGTGCGTCTTATGGAGCAAAGAAAACAGATTATATTTTCCAAAATATTTTCCAACGTAGTCGCGTCCTAAGGCTGTAGTCTTCAAACGGTCCATGATTCCCTATAAAGTCTTATATTGTTTGGGTCCAGGCTATCCGAAAGTTATTGCTCTTTGGTTGTGGAATGCCCTCCATCAGAAAGCCATGTGGGGCACCCCCCTCCCGGTTGTCTCTCCTGAAATGGGTAAAGACATCCCCTTTAAGACATATTTTTAATAAATAAATTGGACAGAAAAAAAAAGTGGAATTCTGTCCATTGTTGTATAGTCGCAGATTTTAAAGCTGTTTTCAGTCTGTTTTTTAAAATTAATAGTCTTGTGATTATTATGACATATGTAATATATTTAAGTCCCATTGAACTTTCAATTTATTATGTGTTTATTTACATATTTCTAAAATCCATTTGTGAGCCTCCTTATATCCTAATATATCAGGCGGAAAAACACATAGAAATAGTATAATATTTATTTAATTCTTTTAAAATATTATATATTTGCTGTATTTAGCCTGTAAATATTTTAACATATTTATATAGGTGATGTTTTTAGCTTGTAAATATTGTATTTTAAATTATGTAAGTTGGCTTGGGTTCTTTTGAAGGAGAAAGGTGGGATAAAATATTTATAATAAAATGAAAATAAATGAATAAATATATCCAGTTAATTTATTAGCATCAGCTCATAGTCATAGAATAATTTACTGGAAAGGGGCATGTTGAACTTTAGCTGGAGAAACCTGAGATCACTTGAAAAGGGAAAAAGAAAGACCACAATCTGTCAGAAACAACTTATATTTGCTAATTTAATACAGTAGTTTCCAGGAATATGTTTTCTCAATGTCAGGAAAAAAACACTTCCTTCCAAAGTCAATAAACTCCTTCTAGCAAGCTGAAAACAACAAGTATATAAATATTTCAAAAGAATTAAATAATTATTATGTTTAAAATGGCAAATAAAATCAGTACTAAAAACACATGTAAAAGCAAAGGCACAACAATCCATTAAACAGACCCTTTCAGACTGCCACTCACTGAGGGAAAGGCTGTCTTTTTGAGAAAAGAGAAAGGTCTTTTTGCCTGCTTGCAGGAAGACAGCAAAGATGGGGCCAAGCTGGCCTCTAATGGGAGGGAGTTCCAAAGTCTGGGAGCAGCCACAGAGAAGGCCCCTTTTCAAATTGTTCAATTAAACAGATACATACATTTACTTAAGAATAATTCCTATTAATTTCAATAGGCATGCCCAAGACACAGTGCTACTATGCTGAAATAAAATAATAAAAGAAGAAGTGACAGCTCAGACGCTTCTAGTTCACATCTCTCCACCTGTATGCTCTCTATGCAGTTTCTCTCACCATCTACCCTACATATCTGCACTTGAGGGGGCAATTATACAAGCTTGTATTACAGAATTAAATTAGAAAATAATGCTAAATTAATATGCAAAACATCTGTGGAACACTTTGGAAGTTTTGGTTCTGAACATTGTAATTTAGACACTTAAGTTGAAAATGAGAATGGGAATTTGAGAAGGCGGATGGTCTTCCAGAGCTTAATAGGTAAAACAAAAATACATAGCAACTTCTTTGTCTCCATTTTTCATAGAAGTAGCCGTGTTATTCTCTTTCAGCAAACACAAAACAAGTATTACCGTGACTAAGAAATTTATTTCATTGTCAGCTTTTAGGGGACTTCAACTCACTTGTTTTCTGAGGACGTGAACTGAAATCCATAAAAGCTGACACTGAAATCAATGTGTTAGAATTATTATTTATTGTTCATTTATTTAAAACTTTTATACCCTGTCTTTTTTTCCTCAAGAGGATTTTGGAACAGGATTCCCAGAATCTCCAGCCAAGATGCTAAGGGAGGATTCTTGGAGATGTATTCCAGTAAAACTATATTTCAAAAAGTTAAAAATGGTTACTACAAAGGAGTAACAAACAATTTGCTTGTTCCATTTGAACAGTATGGCAGTTCGTAAGCGAAATAAAGATAAAAATGGGAGATGAAGGGAACTGAACAGGGGCTGTTCCTGAACCGATTAATCCTAACAATCTAAACGTCACCAGAGCAAATTTGCTGACCTAGCCTAGAGAAGCAGATGTTCAAATTTCAGTGTCTAATATGTGTTGATTTTGCCAAAACAACAGCTATGGTCTACATTGAACAAAACATAACACATTTCAGCCCCCATTTGCAAAGTTGTGGTGGTCCAAATCCCAACCCCTCTAGAAGTAAGGACATTGATCCATCATCCACGAGTGCTAAATTTAGGCGCTGATTCATAACATGCCAACATAATATCTAGCGCACAATGTAGAAAAGAAAACACAACTCCTGGCAAATCAGTGTCTCTTTTAAAACCGTTCAAACGCTTGCCCAGAGCCGAGACAAGAAAATAAAAAGAACATTGTCGGAATATTAATCATTTTTTCTCCCCCTGCAGTGAAAGAATGAGTAATCACATTGCTGCTAACTTTGTGCCAGAGGCACAGAGCTTGGATAGGAAGGGGCTCGTAGTTACCAAAGCGTAACGCACGCAGGAACACAAGAAGAAACATTTATTTAAAAACTGCCCATCCTTCCAGAAGTAATTGTGAATGATCCACTTACCATTGCAGGCTGGGGAGGTACCGTTGAGTTCCATAATCAGAGACCGTGCAGGAAAAACAGCCGGAAGGCTGGAACAGATGTGCACCCAGATGTTGAAGAAAGCTAAGCTGATCGTTTTCCACGACATACACACCCCTTACAATTCTTCCCTCTGGTTATTCCTGCCCCTTTGAGCTTGTGAAAAACTCTTTTCTTCTTATGTCCCCAGGGTTGTGGTGGGGGTGTCGTTTGTAAACGACAACTCCTGTGTGAGTCTTTCTCTGCAGAACTCTGGATCGGCAGAGCACCAAGACGCGTCCTGAAAACAAGGGAGCTAAGGCCAATCTGTCTGTGCAAGTGAGTGGCTCTGCTGTGCTTTCGCTCAGTCAAAAGCCAAGGCCGTCCTCTGCCTCTGACGTTCACGCTGACATCTGGAAAAGACAAGAAGGCAAGGGGGGGGGAACACACACAGGTCTCCACCCAGCTGTGCATCTTAACCCTGTCATTTTGGTGCTGCAATGCTAGAGAGGCTCTGTTTACAAAGATATTTATAGATCACAGAGCCGGGAAGAAGGACGGAAAAGCTTTTAAAGAAGGAATAACACAGAGGTGTATCAAAGAGCCATTTTCCCAAAGAGAAGCAAAGCCAAAGCAGAAAACATCTGGATAATTCTCACTTCTGGCAGGCTTTTTTCTCAGCAACTCCTGAAGTTCTTAAAAACAGGGGCTGCTGAGTTTGTTTGTTTGTTTTACGTTTTTAACATCACTTGTTCTACGAGTGTAAACCACCTCCAGCCCTCCTGAGGAGAAAAGCAGCGTATAAATGTTTCGAAGACATGAATAATAAATCATGATTCTAACCAATGGATTTCAGTGTAAGCTTTTGTGGATTTCAGTCCACTTCTTCGGAAGCAAGTGGGCTGAAGCCCTTGACAGCGGAAGATGAAATCAACGAGTTAGTCTGAAAGTTGCTGTAATAATATCTGTGTTTTGGTTTACTGAAAGAGAATGACGTGGCTACTTCTGTGTATGTTGGAAGCAAAACTGCTACGTATTTTTGTTTTGCCTACTAAGCAATGGAAGACCATCTGCCTTCTCAAATTCCCATTCTCCTTTTCAATTCAAGGGTGCAAATTACAAAGTTCAGAGCCACAACTGTTGGGGTCTCCTATTTAGATACCCTCAAGCGCTTGAAGTTTCAAACCTCTAATTTGAACGTCTTACATAAAGTTGAATTTCTATTTCTGCCTTCAGTTGCTGCAGTCAGCTTTTTGGAGGGGATCCTAAATCTACTGCAGTAGGGCTGTCCAACCGGCAATATACAGTATTTGCCAGAATCCAGGTACTGTGCCAAATATGTGTCCATGGAGAGGTGTTAAATCTTGCAAGTGAAATAATAAATTGCTACTGGTTTTAGAAATGCAGTATAGTTTTCAGATTCACCAGATCTGCAATGAGATGAAAACCCTTATGATCCTGAAATGTTGGTGGGTGGGGAATCTAGACAAGCGGAGAGAAATTGATTAGAGCAATCACAGAAATGCAGGACTGTAAAGGTGAGAGAGACTTCAAGAGACCTCAAATCTGAACCACGGCCAAAAATAAAATCTATAGCAACAACGTCTCCCAAAAAGTGGCTTTTTAAAAAAGCTCAGTGTAGGTTTCTGGCTGCAGAGATGGGGGTTTGGAGTACTCAGCTCCTACAACTGTTCCTTGTAGGACTTGGTTTGCAGATCTTTTACCACAACGGTCACCCTCTTCTGGACACACTCCAGCTAATGGGGCACAAAACTATTTCAGGCCCGGGTACACCCCCACCCACCTTATCAGAGTCACAGCTTCACATTTGTATCTGCCTAGTGGCCGTACTCCCAGCCTTATCACACTCTGTGTGGTTGTGCATGAGAAAAAATCAGAGTGTGTGCGAAGGGGAAGGAGGGAGAAAAGGAGACAATGAATTTGAGAGAATAAGTAAACTGCCCAGCTTTAAAGCCAAACTCAAACAAAGCAGGAGGTAGGAACATCCTTAACAGAGATGTGTGTGAGAGAGTGTGGGTATATTTTTCTGCTTCTCAGCTGAATTGGTGTCGTAGGAACTAGTGTACAGCTGAAATCCTGTGGCTTAGCA